AGTCACGAATAAGTGTGATCAGATCACAACAGGAATAAAATGTTACATCAATAAACATCACCTTTGCTATAGAAGGAGTTGATAATAATGTACAGGAAATGCTCAGATTGTCAAACAAGCGTTCAAAGAGCTCCTCTTAGGTAATCTGTATTTCAACGTCTCCTGGGTTTTCATCCAATCCATCTTCAATGAGAACAGTCTTCATGTCCTGAAGCAAGTACATCTATTGTTCTTGATCTGGTAACTAAAAAAGTTTTCCAAAATAGTGTTCATGATTTCCACCCACAAATTCAGATGAATAAGAAGGAAACAGAGTTCTTTGTTTTTTTGGAATTGATTTTATTTGGGCTCTTTTGAAATTGATCTTTCTTAGAAAAAAAGTAACTGAAGAACATGCTGTATTCTAGATAAAGAACCAAGATTAGGGGGTGCCCTGATCATCCAGCACTTGCTCTGAAACCTTGTTCCAGCTTCTGTGTCCTTGCCCTTTGAAGTAAAATGCTGACTCATGCGGGGAGCCAGCCTGACTGCTCAGGCTCCTTCTTGGCTCTGAGAGAGATCAAGAGGTCCCTCTCTGTCCCGCCACCCCTGATTTATTAAAGCACAGGTTGGCCTTTCTCACCTCCCTCAAGGAAATTGCTGTAGCGATCTTTCACCTGTTTTCCTGGTGCTGATAAACTTGCCATGATTGAAGCCTGTTATCTATCTAGTTAATGTTCTATTGATTTCAGTCATGTTGGGTGCTAGGGTAATACTTTACTGTCCTTAAGTGGAGGAATTTAAAACATCTGTGCCTGTAGCTCTGCACATATGCAAACCTTTAATCTATTAGTAACTCCTGTTAGCACATATATAGGTGTGGTATTCTTCAATAAAGTCGTCGGTTTCAGTCGAGAGCTGACTCCGTCCCTCTCAACCCCATCTTTTCTAGTCTTTTATTTCTCAGGTATTTCGGCGATTGCGCCCGTGACCGGTTCGTTTGCCGGCAGGCTCCGGCAGACTCAGGAGTTAATGTTTGAGAAATGTGAAGATATAGAAACAAAGAATAGCTGTAGGACTAGGGAACTGGTAACAAGTTAGACTATAATTCTCCCACACTACAGAATCAGGGGACTCACATTTCCCTGATAGATACAGATAAAGCCCTGACACACATTCCTAAATTGTTTTTACAGGAAGCAGACCCCCTCCAGATGAGAATTGCTGAGGGCAAGCAAATAGACCCTAGACTGGTTGAAACCAGGAGGTTGATAATGCTTGAAACTTCACCTTGATGCCAACCAGTCCAAGGACTGTGCATGAGCTGGTCATACCCTGATACTTAAACACCATGAAACTCCTCACTAACTACTCCATAGTGGGTCACACTGTCTTGAGGGAATTAGCCCACTGTGATGCCCTTTGCCTGGTAAAGCAATTATCCTTCAATTATCAGCACAGTTATGCATATATTCCCTCCCTTTTGAGTCTCTCTCCCACCTTCTCCCCCCCAATCCACCCCTCTAGGCCATCACAGAGCACAGAGCTGAGCTCCCTGTGCTCCACAGCAGCTTCCCACTAGCTATCTATTTTACACATGTAAAATAGATAGTGTATATATGTCAATGCTTTCTCCTCAACTCATCCCAAACTTTTGCAATTGCTTCCAATCAAGACTGTGTTCCTCATCTCTAGAAGATCTTTAGTTCTCCCTCTTGGGGAAGAACCCTGACCTCTTTGATATAAGCACGTCTAAGGTACATAACCCTTCTAGTGGGATCCCAGTGAGACAGCTCATTCCTTATTCACCTACCAGAAAACACCATGTTTACTGTCACATGTACACAGACTCAGCTTTGGGCAAACTCATAGAAAGCTGATTTTGCAACACTTGTTGGGTTCCAAGTCAAAGACACAAGGCCTGCACCTATTAAGTGAAGCACACTCACCCACCCTCTACAGCCCAAAACTATAGTAACATTTTTTTATTTGATAAGATTTGAACTCATATCAGTTCAGGTCAGTTCAGTTCAGTCACCTAGTCGTGTCCGACTCTTTGTGACCCCATGGACTGCAGGATGCCAGGCCTCCCTGTCCATCACCAACTCCTGGAGTTTAATCAAACTCATGTCCATTGAGTTGGTGATGCCATCCAACCATCTCATCCTCTGTCATCCCCTTCTCCTCCTGCCTTCAATCTTCCCCAGCATCAGAGTCTTTTCAAATGAGTCAACTCTTCTCATCAGGTGGCCAAAGGATTGGAGTTTCAGCTTCAACATCAGTCCTTCCAATGAACACCCAGGACTGATCTCCTTTAGGATAGACTGGTTGGATCTTCTTCCTGTCCAAGGGACTCTCAAGAATCTTCTCCAAAAGCATCAATTCTTCTGTGCTCAGCTTTCTTTATAATCCACCTCTCACATCCATACATGATTACTGGAAAAACCATAGCCTTGACTAGACAGACCTTTGTTGGCAAACTAATGTCTCTGCTTTTTAACATGCTATCTAGGCTGGTCATAACTTTCCTGCCAAGGAGTAAGCATCTTTTAATTTCATGGCTGCAGTGATTTTGGAGCCCCCCAAAATAAAGTCTGCCACTGTTTCCACTGTTTCCCCATATATTTGCTATGATGTGATGGGAGCAGATGACATGATCTTAGTTTTCTGAATGTTGAGCTTTAAGCCAACTTTTTCACTCCCCTGTTTCACTTTCATTAAGAGGCTCATTAGTTCCTCTTCACTTTCTGCCATAAGGGTGGTGTCATCTCCATATCTCAGGTTATTGATATTTCTCCTGGCAATCTTGATTCCAGCTTGTGCTTCATCCAGCCCAGCATTTCTCATAATGTACTCTGCATATAAGTTAAATAAGCAGGGTGACAATATACAGCCCTGACATACTCCTTTTCCTATTTGGAACCAGTCTGTTTTTCCATGTCCAGTTCTGACTGTTGCTTCTGAAGCTTCAGAAGCAACAGTCAGAACTGGAACACATATCAACCCATGAATATTCACTGGGTAGAGTAACAGGAGAAAAATCTTGGGTCTAGGGATCTTGGATCAATGACAATATGCCCTCATCATCCTTCTCTTTCTCAGGAGAGAGATGTTTTCTTTACATTACTGCACAGAAAACATGCCCTCCATGTCTCTGCAAGAAGCCGCTGTCTCTGTGTTGCAAGGGTGTTTACTATACATTGTGTGGGATGAAGGGTAGTTGGAACCTCTGCTTAACAGATGCACAAAAATGAGATAGCTTGTGTAGAATTATCTGCAACAGACACTTACACATTTCTAACAGCTAAATACTCCTGATATCATTCAGTCTGCTTCTCCACTAGACTATCAACTCAAGAATTTATCTTAATATTATCTATTTTATTTATTGATAAAATAATGTCTTACTAAAAGTTTTCAATAGTTTTGTTGAATAAATCAATGAATAAAAAACAAAACATATAAGAACTAATCAAAATGTTTAGCATAAAGAATAATGTATGTGTAAGCATATATGTGTATATGTGTGTGTGTGTGTGTGTGTGTGTGTGCATGTGCTAAATTTGTTCAATCACATCCATCTTTGTGCAACCCTATGGGCTATAGACCCCCAGGCTTCTCTCTTTGTGTGATTCTCCAGGTAAGAATACTGGAGTGGGTTGCCATTTACATATATACACATACATATTTTATATAACTATAGATTTTTGCACTCTTATCATATATATATACATATATATATACCATATATATATATATATATACAAATATACTAATCATTTTCCTATACAGAACAAATTAACACTACATTGTAAACCAACTATACCTCAATAAAAATTTTAAATATAGACATTAATTAAAAATTAAATAAATTGAAAAGATGCACTGCTTTATAACATGCATGCCTGCTCAGTGGCAAAGTCAAGTCTGACTCTTGCAACTCCATGGACTGGAGCGTACCAGGCTCCTCTGTCCATGGGATTTCCCAGGCAAGAATACTGGAGTGGATTTCCATTTCCTTCTCCAGAGGATCTTCCCAACCCAGGGATCAAGCCTGAGTCTCTTGCATTGGTATGCTGATTCTTTACCACTGAGCCACGTGGGAAGCACTATAAGAAGCAAAATATAATACTGGAAATTTTTTAGTTCATTTTTTACTGAAGAATAGTTGAATTACAATGTTGTGCCAATTACTGCCTATATCAAAGTGACTCATTTATACACACACACACACACATACACATTCTTTTTCATATTATTTTCCATTATGGTTTATCATAGGATATTGAATATAGTTCCCTGTGCTGTAAGTTGGTATTTGTGCTAATCCAATCCATATGTAAAAGTTTGCATCTGCTAACCCCAACCTCCCGATCAAGCCCTCTCCCAACCCCTTCCCCTTAACAAACATCAGATAACACTTGACAGATTACAAAAGTACTTATGCTAAGTAAAAAAAAAAAAGGTATAAAACCTGTATATTGAAGATTATTTCAAATTGTAGATAAACAGGCACACACTTTTGTACAGGAGAGTCATGAAAGCATGAAATTAAATTTATATTTTATGGCAAGAAAAACTTAAACATAAAAAAATTTTCTCTGCCCTTTGCACTCTTTTCTCCTCACTGTGAGTTGTGTTTCTGCATTATGCATGGACCAGACCTCCCACATCAGCGGGAACACCTGCTGAACCACGAAAAGCAACATTCTCCCAGCATCAGTAAGACTGATCCTTGAAAGATAAATTCCTTCTTGATCATGCAAGAGGTCACATGACCTACCATGGTGACGCTTAGATCTGCATTATGTACAGTGTCAATAATATGTCTTTTCATGCAGAGCCCTCCGTCTTCAAAGTTACATCCCTGGGCCTTGACTTCTAGAGGACAAACAGTTTCCAGAGTGTTCTGAGATGCTCTTCCTGGGTTATAGTTCTCAAATTTGGCTCGAACAAAATTTTCCATTTCTTTCTCAGATCAGCTGATTCATTTTCAAAGGAAAACACACCAAATTTATTAAATGGGTTAATCAGAGGTTATTTTTATTTTTCATAAATCAGATTTCAAAGGTCAGAAACTTCTTTTAAACACCTCCACCAAGTACAGAAATGCTCTTCAGAGCCCTAGAGAAAAAGTTCTGGTAGAATGGATAGTGGACATCTCACAGTCAATATTCTTCAGAAAATGGATACTCAGGGTGATCAACCCACCTGAAAGAGAAAGAGGAGGAATAATTTATTAAATCTGTCATGTTGTCATAGAGACCATTACTCTGTGATGCAGTCACGATGGGCTAAAGCTTGAAATCCAGAAATACATCCCATCTTTTCCCCCAAGAAGCACAAGCAGGTATCTGTTCCATTAGCACATGGCTCCTGCATGTCCAGTCCCAACGTTCATGTGTAATATTCACCCCACAGTGACAGGTAGTTTGACTCAGGTTACAATTTATAAGAGGGTGCAAGACCTAACAACTAACTGTGGAGATCATTTCAATACCACTTTCAACCCTAAGTGGTGAGAAGGATCACAAGTAAGGAATTCCTTGCTGTTTCTCATACATCCATTCAAAGTAATATTGAGCATATCCCAAAATACAGGGTGCTTCCATTAAGGAATTACATTAAACTGAAGAAATATTACATACACCTAAGTAATCATACCTATAAACTGTGATTACTGCTTTCTTAATTTGTATTACATGAGTACATTCATTATTTATTAATTAACATTACTGCTGTTTTCCTTCCTTATAGTCTGATTTTTCTTTCTAAATTTGTTCTTTTCAATTCAATTCATTAAAGAGTGCATCCTGAGCCATTCCATGTGCCAGGAGCTGTGCTATCGACATAAACCTACAAGGATGAGTAAGTCTAGGCATTCACAGCATAATTAAGGAGAACACAGAATACACTTAACAGTTTTTGAGAACAGAAAAGTAACTTGCTATCTTTTCTCATTTTTCATCATGTCTTTTTTCAGAATCATAATATACATATACATATGTATGCGTACACAGTAAGTTGCTCAGTTGTGCCCAACTTTTGGCGACCCTAAGGACTATAGCCCACCAGACTTCTCTGTCCATGAGATTCTCCAGGCAAGAATACTGGAGTAGGTGGCCTGCACTGCTCCAGGGGATCTTCTCACTCAGGGATCAAATGCATCTCTTGTGTCTTCTGCATTGGCAGGCAGGTTCTTTAGCACTAAAACCACCTAGGAAGCCCATATACATATATATGTATATATAAATATAAAAAAATATAACTTCTTTACAAACAAGGTGGCTTCCCAAGTAGCTCAGTGGGTAAAGAGTCTTCCATGGACAGAGAATCTCATGGACAGAGGACCCTCGTGGGCTACAGTCCGTAAGGTCACAAACAGTCAGACATCACTAAAGCCTGTGAGCACTATAAACAAAAGGAGTTCTGAGATCTTTCATTTGAAACTAAAATTTCATTTCATCACTAATTTGTGTTCCCTTCTCTCTAAACTCCCTTCCAACTTCTTCCTGTTTGATTAGTATTCTGTCTTTTCAATCTTGACATCCTCCTGTAGTAATTAGGCAACTGGAATTCAATGTTAGTGACCAAGTCAAAGTCAGGGAGACAGGAGCTCCCCAGGGAATGGAACCCTGGTGGACAAAGGCTACACTGCGGTAAGTCTGAACTCAAGAAACCAGAAGACCCACACAATCTTACCTGGGGTGTGTCTTACTAAGGACACAGCAGTCCCTGGAGGATCAGTTAAGCTCATGATCTCCTTATAATTCAGTTGGTGACATTTTAAGGATGAGGAAATAGGAGATGTGATGGGGGAAAGGTCAATAAAGAAATAAATTTGGAAGAAATTGATGGTGTCTTGGTAAAGAAAAGCCCACCAGGGAGAAAATCCACCAGACACTTAGCGGAGCAGGTGGAGGCAGGCTCACTGTAACTTCTCACACTGAAGCATGTTGGCCTTCATGGGCCCCTCCTCAAGAAATAATATCAACAATGTATTTACAACTGTGTTAGGATAAGCAGGAATATAATTCAGGATGGATTCCTTATTACATAGTCATTGGGTATCATTTCCTCCTGATTCTATAAAGAATTAAAGGTAAAACATTTGCATCAGTCCCTGAAAGAAGGAGCCTGGTAGGTTACAGGCCATGAAGTCCGGAAGAGTCAGACAAGACTGAGCAACTAATGTGCTCACTTTCACTTTCTGAAAGAAGAGTGAACTGCAGACACTGCGCCCTCTGTGTCTGCTAGGTCCCTTGGCCCTGAGAGGAGGGACACCAGGCACAGGGATTAGAGACACAAAGTAGTGAATTCACCACGATGTCAACTCTGAGTTGTCCTGGGACCAATCACATTCTGTTGGTGAGAGACGGAGTTCTGGAGGAAACCTCTATTCTGAGGTTGGCAGGAAGCCCCTGGTTTACTCCCACACTGGAAATCAGGACTCTCTTCCAAGAATTAAGCTTTTGAAAAGCTTAGTTCCCCTGCTGACCTGCTGGCTACAAAAGAAAACAAAACAAAAAACTGTGTATGTGAAACAGTCACTTACATTAGATATTCATAATATCTTATGTTTCTGTTGATGCCATCAATTGTTTCCATGTCTTCTGGAGTCAGTTCAAAGTCAAACACCTGGAAGGAAGGAAGAATCATATTAATCCCTGCCCCAAGGAGCCGGCCTCCCCCTGGAGACTGGAGGACATTTTAGATGGATGCAGATAAGAAGAGGGGACAGGGAAGTTGTGTCTGTCCAAGCCAGACAAGGAATGATCCTCTTGAAGAATATCTCTTAAGAGCCCTCTGCCCACAGCTCCACTTATCATCACCTGCATGTTCTCTTTGATCCGCTTCTTGTTGTAACTCTTGGCCAGAACCACAACCCCACGTTGCATCTGATAGCGAAGGGCAACGAGAGCTGGAGTTTGCTTGTGCTTTTGGGCAATGGCAGAGAGAACCGGGTCCTCCAAGAGAAAGGGGAGGTTTGGATCCAACCTGGAAGGAAATTCAGAAGTTCTGAGGAGCTGAGACTGAGTTTATGACATTTATGAGTTTATGAAGAGGCTTCCCAAACAGACCAGTATCTCTACTCTAGACCAGTGCTTCTCAAACTGTGGTCCATGGGCCAGCAACATCTGCATCACCTGGGATCTTGTTAGAAACACAAATTCCATGGCTTAGCTGAAGACAAACTGAATCAGAACCTCAACTGTGTCACTTCCCATTCTGTATTTACAAAGATCTGCAGGTGATTTGGGTGCATTATTGAGTTGAGACCAGGACTGCCAAATGCATGGATTTTGTTTCCTTTTTACTTCTCTGTGGTTGTTTTCTTCTCCAATCAGAGCTCAAAAATAAAGACAATGGCTTGAAAAGAGAACGTGATGGAAAAGATTGCAAAATATTTTTTCCTTTAACTTACACTTGTCTCAGGTGTTGATAAAAGCTGAGTAGTCTAAAAAGGAAAACCATGCTTTTCATGATTATTTACATTGTGCAATTCTTCTACAAATGTTTATAAAATGGTTCAAATTATACTTATTTTTCAATGATGATGCACCTGGGAATTACATATTATTATCCTGATTTGGGGCTTCCTTCGTGGCTCAGATGGTAAGGAGTCCACTTGCAATGCATGTTTAATCCCTGGGTCAGGAAGATCCCATAGAGATGGTAATGGTTACCCACTCCAGTATTCTTGCCTGGAGAATTCCATGGACAAAGGAGCCTGGAGGGCTACAGTCCATGGGGTCACAAAGAGCTGACAGGACTGAGCAATTAATGCTATCCTGATTTTAGAAATAAAGTGAGGGAAGCTTGGAAAGTCTATTAGTAGTAATGTGTTCATCAGTCCATAAATAAGTAAATTATGACAAAGCTTATGTCTTAGTTTTCAAATGGGGGAATATATAGAGATTTTAAATCAGACACTTGTGTTAAAATCTATATACAAGACAAATGCAATGTAAGAAAACTGGCTGGATGATGCGAAGACAAAAGAGAATTTCTCCCATCTGTCTTTTCTCCCCTCTGCCTGTTGAGAGTTATCTTCAAAGCACTGAGTGCAGTATGATAACATTTTCATCAAAAATAGAGTTTTAGGTAAACTCATTGTTGCCATCAATAATGTTTATTACCATTGTAATGATCGTTGGGATCCAAGAGCACCATAGGCAACAAGGACAATATCATGTGACTTGCAGAACTCCAGCAGCTTGCTCTGATTGAGATAAGGGTGACATTCCACCTGTAGAATGCCAGTATAGAGAGTGTTAGATTATATGGAAAGGTAATGTGCCAGAGAAAGCTTAAAAGTAAAAATTATATGCTAAAGAAAAATTGTGTCACATCACATTATGACTGGAACCACCAAAGAGAGAAATACTTTAAAAAGAAATTTATATCTCTGTTCTCTGAGAAGGTAAAAAATAATGACATTACTGAAAGCAAATAATTCTATGGACCAGATCTTGGCTGCTGAACACTACTGGACACCCCTAACACACATGCTTAATTCCAGCTCTGGGACAGGAAAAGAGCTTTTAAGCCTTGGACATCAAACTATGCCAGAAAGAAAGAAATTGCACAAAGTCTTATGAAGAAATGTCTGAAGGACAAAAGAACCAGTTTGATGGGTTCCCACTGGTGACATTTGAGTAGATTTGAGAACCAAAGGGAGTTATGAATGAAAGCAAATGCAGCACACAGAGGCAATAAAAATCCCAAAGAGTAAAAAACATTTCCCACCACAGACTATGACTATTACAACAAATCCTTTTTCAGAAACTGACAATTAATGGGGAGGAATGAAGATTTTTACACGGCTTATTGAAATGTTGTACTTAGTCATTCAGTCATGTCCAACTCTTTGCAACCCATGGACTGTAGCACACCAGGCTCCTCTGTCCATGGACTTCTTCAGGCAAGAATACTGGAGTATGTTGCATGCCCTCCTCCAGGGGATCTTCCCAACCCAGGGATCAAACCCAGGTCTCCCTCATTGAAGGCAGATTCTTTATCATCTGAGCCACCAGAGAAGTACAAGAATACTGGAGTGAGTAACCTATCCCTTCTCCAGGGGAACTTTCTGACCCAGGAATTGAACTGTGGTCTCTTGCATTGCAGCCGATACTTTACCAGCTGAACTACCAGCGAATAGGTATGTTTTATCCCGAATTAATTTTATTTTAATAAAATCCCGATGGAATTTTATTTTTACAACAGAATGTCAGGTCAGAAGATTAAAAATAGCTCTTAAAATGGAAAATAATGAAAAACATTCCAATGAATGAAGGTAGAAGTCATCAATGGATTCTCAACCATTACGTGAAAACTTGGGGGAAATCAAACTTCCCCTAATGATGGTTATTGTCCAACAGATGACTAGGTAATTTCAACAGGGAAAATACACATCTCCAAATAAAAGATCTAGCTATTAATAGCTTTACCAGGAGACCAAAGGTACTGTCACACACAGTGGGACAACTTGTCACTATGTACTTCCAACCAAGGTTCATTTAAGGGACAAAGCATGAAACTGACATTTTCTTGTCAAAATACTTAACCTTAATATAGTAAGACATTCAGATTTAACTATTAATTTACATAATCTAGGATTACAGAAACAAGTTAATTAACACCACAAAATAACAATGATAAATACATTCTATTTGTCAAAACTTGTCTGGATATCCTGGTAACATAAAGATTGAGTGACCAGTCTAAGTTAAAAGTACTTGATAAAGATGATTCAAAGTGACATAGGAACCACAATCAGATCCAGATCAGCAAAATTATATATATATGTAATATATGTATATACATATATATATATATATATTCTCTGCCATACTCCTAACTGTTCTAATATCTGAAATTTTTCACATGAGAACATAGGAGCAAAACAAAACTAATGCCAGGATCACATTAATTTCCAACTTTTATAATTGAGAAGATTATATGTACATATATACACACATGTATATAATTGATACAAATATATATTTCTTGCATTATAGAAGATTCTTTTTCCTTAACTGAAAGTTGTACCTTAAAAACTTTGGTACATATGAAATAAGACCATTGCAGAAGGATAAATACTACATGACATATATATCATATATAAGTTAAAATATATATGGAGAGGGGTCAAACTCAGAATTAAATGGTAGAGTGCTTGTCACCAGGGGGTGGGAAGTGGGAAAAACCAGGAATTGCTAATCCTAATAAATCTCAATTATGCAAGATGAATAAACTCTAGATTTGCTGTACACCACTGTCCCTAGAGTTAATAACATTATTGTATTGTATAGTTAAAAATTTGGTAAAAGGATAGATTTCATGTTAAGTTTTCTCACAAAGTAAAAATAGAACCAAAAAAAGTAACAGCCACAGAAAGACACAGAAAAAAATGTGTTTAACAATTTTATGCTAGAAATAGATGTGGAAACCAGAATAAGACTGAGTAAATCACAAGGTCTGCTCTAATTCCTGAGTAATCCTTCCATCAACTGTCAGGATCCCCCTAAGCATTTAGCTTCATACTCTAACCTGGGTGACTTTCATAGTCTCCAGCAGATTTCTCTGTACTGTGCTCCCTGTTGAAGCTGGGACACTAAGACTAAGGATTCAGGCATCCAAACTCCACACAAAGCCTTGACACCGGTCTCACCTGGTTTTTCTTTATTTACTTCCCATTCTGTATTTTCATGGTCTTCCTTCCTGTACACAGTTTCATCTGAGCACTTTCATGCTGATTTCTGGTCATGCTTTCAGCTCAGAAGAAAACCTCCTTCCTCTAAGTTCTGAAGGACTAGTCTAACCCCCTTCACTTCCATTACCTTCCCTCAGGCATCATCGCAATTTAGCACGAAGCTACCCCCACCTTGTCCACCCAGATCTTATCAAAGATACTGTTACAGATTCTATTCACACTGTCCAGACAGAAGCTCTGTACTCTAGAACCTTCTGTCCCCAAAGGTCGGATGAACATGAAGGGAGGACAGACAGACATCTGGCTCCAGCGCAAGAAAGAGATTCTGAAGAGCAGGAGGGAGAGGAGTCAAGGCTGCTCACCTGGTTGCAGACAGGCTTGTACTTGAGCCCCGGCTTGTTCAGGATCTTCTCCAGCTGCTTGTGGTTGAAGTTGGACACCCCGATGGACTTGGTCAGCCCTTTGTCCTTACACTTCTCCAGGGCCTGGAAGGGAGGGGTGATGAGCAGTCATGAACAGTCACTTGGAATGGGCAATAGAACAAGATTAATGACTATAAAAAATTATTAAAAGTGTCTCTTGTCAAGAATTAGCATTGATTATAAGGAAGAAAAAAGCGGAAGAAATTCATGACACAAGAAGAATTACAGTATCCTCCTTAGAAAAACCCCAGAGAAGATACATCACATGGAAGGAAATAGATGTCTGTCTTCACATTCCCAAATTCTCCTCCACTGTTCTTCTCTGTCAACATTTCAGCAATGGTTTCCTCCCCTACAACCCCAGCATCACAGCCCTTAGATTCAAGAACTGCTCAGTCTGATGGTCCACTGCCCATTCTCACAGGTGGAAGAAATGAAGGAGGTTCCCCACCTCTCTTGGCTCCTTCCCTAGACTCACCTCCCATGTGCGACAGAGATCCACTGAGTCATATATCATTTTTCCATTTTCATCTGTTGGGAAAAGTGCCTCACCTGGCTGCAATAGAAGCAATCATTTTAGAGATGTTACCAAATAATTTCTCCACACTTAGCCAGAGAGAGGGCACTGAGAGAGGGTATCAGAGGGCAGACAGATTGAAACCACAATCACAGACAACTAGCCAATCTGATCACATGGATCACAGCCTTGTCTAATTCAATGAAATTAAGCCATGCCATGTAGGGCCACCCAAGACAGAGGGGTCATGTTGGAGAGTTATGACAAATGTGGTCCACTGGAGAAAGGAATGCCAAAGCACTTCAGTATTCTTGCCTTTAGAATCCTATGAACACTATGAAAAGGCAAAAAGATAGGACACTGAAAGATGAACTCCCCAGGTCCATAGGTGCCCAAAATGCTACTTGGAGATCAGCGGAGAAATAACTCCAGAAAGAATGAAGGGACAGAGTCAAAGCAAAAACAACACCCAGTTGTGGATGTGACTGGTGATAGAAGCAAGGTCTGATGCTGTAAAGAGCAATATTGCATAGGAACCTGGAATGTTAGGTCCATGAATCAANAACCCATGCTGTATTCTAAAAATGAGTTCTTCATAATAGACTTTGTTCTTGTTACTTTGCTTTGGCTGTGCCATGAAACCCATGCTGTATTCTAAAAATGAGTTCTTCATAATAGACTTTGTTCTTGTTACTTTGCTTTGGCTGTGCCATGAAACCCATGCTGTATTCTAAAAATGAGTTCTTCATAATAGACTTTGTTCTTGTTACTTTGCTTTGGCTGTGCCATGAAACCCATGCTGTATTCTAAAAATGAGTTCTTCATAATAGACTTTGTTCTTGTTACTTTGCTTTGGCTGTGCCATGAAACCCATGCTGTATTCTAAAAATGAGTTCTTCATAATAGACTTTGTTCTTGTTACTTTGCTTTGGCTGTGCCATGAAACCCATGCTGTATTCTAAAAATGAGTTCTTCATAATAGACTTTGTTCTTGTTACTTTGCTTTGGCTGTGCCATGAAACCCATGCTGTATTCTAAAAATGAGTTCTTCATAATAGACTTTGTTCTTGTTACTTTGCTTTGGCTGTGCCATGAAACCCATGCTGTATTCTAAAAATGAGTTCTTCATAATAGACTTTGTTCTTGTTACTTTGCTTTGGCTGTGCCATGAAACCCATGCTGTATTCTAAAAATGAGTTCTTCATAATAGACTTTGTTCTTGTTACTTTGCTTTGGCTGTGCCATGAAACCCATGCTGTATTCTAAAAATGAGTTCTTCATAATAGACTTTGTTCTTGTTACTTTGCTTTGGCTGTGCCATGAAACCCATGCTGTATTCTAAAAATGAGTTCTTCATAATAGACTTTGTTCTTGTTACTTTGCTTTGGCTGTGCCATGAAACCCATGCTGTATTCTAAAAATGAGTTCTTCATAATAGACTTTGTTCTTGTTACTTTGCTTTGGCTGTGCCATGAAACCCATGCTGTATTCTAAAAATGAGTTCTTCATAATAGACTTTGTTCTTGTTACTTTGCTTTGGCTGTGCCATGAAACCCATGCTGTATTCTAAAAATGAGTTCTTCATAATAGACTTTGTTCTTGTTACTTTGCTTTGGCTGTGCCATGAAACCCATGCTGTATTCTAAAAATGAGTTCTTCATAATAGACTTTGTTCTTGTTACTTTGCTTTGGCTGTGCCATGAAACCCATGCTGTATTCTAAAAATGAGTTCTTCATAATAGACTTTGTTCTTGTTACTTTGCTTTGGCTGTGCCATGAAACCCATGCTGTATTCTAAAAATGAGTTCTTCATAATAGACTTTGTTCTTGTTACTTTGCTTTGGCTGTGCCATGAAACCCATGCTGTATTCTAAAAATGAGTTCTTCATAATAGACTTTGTTCTTGTTACTTTGCTTTGGCTGTGCCATGAAACCCATGCTGTATTCTAAAAATGAGTTCTTCATAATAGACTTTGTTCTTGTTACTTTGCTTTGGCTGTGCCATGAAACCCATGCTGTATTCTAAAAATGAGTTCTTCATAATAGACTTTGTTCTTGTTACTTTGCTTTGGCTGTGCCATGAAACCCATGCTGTATTCTAAAAATGAGTTCTTCATAATAGACTTTGTTCTTGTTACTTTGCTTTGGCTGTGCCATGAAACCCATGCTGTATTCTAAAAATGAGTTCTTCATAATAGACTTTGTTCTTGTTACTTTGCTTTGGCTGTGCCATGAAACCCATGCTGTATTCTAAAAATGAGTTCTTCATAATAGACTTTGTTCTTGTTACTTTGCTTTGGCTGTGCCATGAAACCCATGCTGTATTCTAAAAATGAGTTCTTCATAATAGACTTTGTTCTTGTTACTTTGCTTTGGCTGTGCCATGAAACCCATGCTGTATTCTAAAAATGAGTTCTTCATAATAGACTTTGTTCTTGTTACTTTGCTTTGGCTGTGCCATGAAACCCATGCTGTATTCTAAAAATGAGTTCTTCATAATAGACTTTGTTCTTGTTACTTTGCTTTGGCTGTGCCATGAAACCCATGCTGTATTCTAAAAATGAGTTCTTCATAATAGACTTTGTTCTTGTTACTTTGCTTTGGCTGTGCCATGAAACCCATGCTGTATCAGTTCCTCAGGAATTGAAACCACTCCCTCAAAACACCCTGACTCAGCAATGAAAGTACACAGTCCTAACCACTGAAACAACCGGAAAAATTCCCCTCCACATAATACAGTTCTTAATGGCTAAGTGCAGTCTGCAAACACCACTGTGAACACAGGTGACAGTGGGCAAGGTCTACCAAGTCCTGAGAAGACTGTGAGGTTTAGACTCACCCAGAAGGGCACCTCCAAATCCACAAAATGTGAAAGGGTGAAAGATGAGAAGACCTCATCCTGTTCAGGTGTGAGGCTGTGTCAGTGCTCAGCACTCTTTCCTGAACTCTGTAGTGAGATCCCCAGACTTAGTCCTAATCAGCGCCATGCACAGAACTTGCCTATTTCTATTACCTCAAGATTTTGAGGCCTAGAGACTTAGATTATTTAATTCATTTCTCTGGAGGCAGGTAAGAGATTCAAAGAACCTCCCCAAAATGATGATCACAAATGATTATTTAGGGGATTCCACTCTAGTGTAATCTTTCCTTCAAACCTACTAAGAAAAATCTTGTCAACCATCCATGCAAGTTATAGATATTCTGACCCAAGAAATAAAACAGAGCTGATCACACAAATCACCTACCACCAGAGCCACTGGCTGATGAATAATATAGAGATCAACATATTCCAGTTGAAGATCTTTCAGTGACTTTTCCAAGGCTGGTTGGACCAACTCTGGTCGAAGGAAAGTGGACCAAACCTGCAGAGATTAAACAAAGGAAGCTGTGGGAAATGATTGCTGCATGTAATTGTGCTTGTCTTCTGTAACTTAATAATTAGACATTATTATTGGTTAGAAAGAGATGACCATGGGAAAAACTGTTCCATTTCTTCTTGAGTTCCATTTTTTATCTAACCTAGCCATGTAAATTTCATTATTTGATTGAATTTGTCATCAGTACATCTTTCACAATGGAATTAAATGAATCAAGATATAAATAACTTTATCAAATAATTACCATTCCCATCAACTGAATTATGCTTGATAGAGTGTAAAAGCACAAACTTAGTCTAATTTGATCAAACAATCCATCTTCTCAAAGTTAATTAATATCTTGTTTACATAACTGTAGCGAAACGTGCTTGGAACACATTAATATGAGCAGAACATAATTTGAGACACTTTGGCTAGATTTTGTGTAATGCACAAAGTGCCTCTCAAATGCTCTCTTGCTCTTGGAGATGAGAACTGAGATACAGATTGTGAAGAAATTTGAGAAGTCTCCCAGATGATAAGAAAAGCTATAATCTGCTCCCAGGTTGTCTGGGAGTAAAGTAAGTAAAGTATTCATTAAGTAAATATAGTATAGTTTTAGTCACTCAATTGTGTCCGAATCTTTGTGACCCCTGGACTGTAGCCCACGAGGCTCATTTTTCCATTGGATTCCCAGGCAACAATACTGGAATGGGTAGCCATTTCCCTCTCCAGTGTATCTTCCTAACCCAGGGACTGAACTCATATCTCCTGCAATTTCAGACAGATTCTTAACCATCTGAGCCACGAGGGAAGCCCTGATTCATTATCCCATACTAAGTCACATGGGACAGAACTAGAACAAATAATTTCACAATTTGTATGGAAATACAAAAAACCTCGAATAGCCAAAGTAACCTTGAGAAAGAAGAATGGAACTGGAGGAATCAACCTGCCTGACTTCATACTATACTACAAAGCCACAGTCATCAAGACAGTATGGTACTGGCACAAAGACAGAAATATAGATCAATGGAACAGAATAGAAAGCCCAGAGATAAATCCA